GGGAGTCCTTGAAGAAATCGCGAAAGAGCCAAGACCGGAAGAACTGAAAGAAGCAACGCAAACGATACCGCAAGTAGAAACCACCGTAGTCACAAAAGAGATCGTTACGCAGGAGAAGCCAGTAATGTCGATGGGAGTCCTTGAAGAAATCGCGAAGAAGCCGAGACCGGAGTCTCCGCTGAGCAAGGAGATCGTTAAAGAAAAGACATCTGGAAGAAAAATAATAACAGAAGAGACAACGATCATCTACAAAGTGCAGAAAGACGGCACTCTGGTGCAGGAGCAAGTTCTCAAGTCTGTGCAGATCGAGGGTGCGAACGGAGAATCGATCAAGCAGATTCCGGAGATCAGCATGGAAACGAAGATAATCGACAAGGGTTTATCAGATACCGTGTATGAAGTGCAAACGACAGGCGACGTTGAGAAATTACGAACGGACATCAAGACCGAGTCGGTTCCTCTGGATGTGAAAAAAACAATCGAGCAGTTCCTCGAAGGGGAAAAGCGAGTCGTTGAAGAAGAGACGGAAGAAGAAAAAATCGAGAAAGAAGAGAGCAGAGAGAGGAAGGAAGAAGCAGTTACCAAACAAGCGACTGACATTAGCTTGCCGGACAAGAAGCCCGTTGTTATCACAGAAGTCAAACAAGTAAAAAAGGAATTCGAGTCTCGCATTCCGATTTCCGCAGCGATGGCCGAGAAAGATAAAAATCAAAAGGAAGTGAAAACGCGAACGTCACCGGAAAAACCCGACGAGAGGTCCGTGAAAAGTCCGATATCGGAGAAGGACGTCGCGTCACCGTCCGCTAAGAAGAAAGAATTCGAATCTCGCATACCTAAACGCATTGCCGAGGGATCGACGTTGAAGGACGCGAAAAAGGATCTACCAGGACGAAAGGACGGCGAGACCATCACGGTCACCGAGAAGAAATCCAGCGAAGAGGTCACTTCGAGGCATGAAGAACGTTCTACCACGAAGAGTACAATGCAGACCTTCTCCAAGACATTCACCGACGCACAGGACGCGTTCAAGATGTTTGAAGACATGAGCGCGATGAAGGACAAGGATTTCGCCACGGTCACCTCGAAGGTTGACACTAAGGCTTCCAGCAAGATTGAGAAGAAAGAAGTAGTTTCGTCGGAGATATCCAGCGGCGCGGATAAGATAATAACTCACGAGGAGAAGGAGAAAGTGGAAAGGAAGAAATCGTCGGAGTCCAAGATAACGAAGGAGTCACCGGCCGAGACGATGGAAGAAAAAACGAGCAAGAGCGAAGAGATGGATAAGACCGCGGTGCAGAAGTTGTCGATGAACGTGACAGAAGGCAGGGAAGTGATAGACGCCAGCGCTTCCGAGTCCAGAGCGGAGAGTAAGAAGGAGGAGTCGTTCAAGCTCCTGGAGGACAAGGAGGGAATTGCAACGGAGAAATCCGGAACTAGCAGAATCAGAGAGAGCGACGTGGACGTGGCGATTAGAATCAAGAAAGACGAAACGAAGGAAGTGGAAGACACCAAGGAGTCTCCTGAAGCGGCTAAAACCAAAGAAACGGATCTGGGGAAGGTTGAGATGATCGCGCAAGGACAGTCTTACAAAGAGAGTTCAGACAGTTTCAAAGTCAAGGAATTCGTGCCTAGCCAGAAGGCGCGAGAAGAAACAGATTTAACTAAGAAGAAAACTGAAGAAGACAAGCCTTCTACTGAAACAGCTCAGGAAACTCTGGAAGAAAGAAAACGGTCGATTGCCAAAGAAATCGAAGCGCGACACATAGCGGAGGATCTCATACAGTCGATTGAAAGCGAGATCGAAAAGAGATCGTCGGAAATGAAGCCCCAAATGTTGAGTAAAGAATATTTCGATCAATTAATCTCCGAGAGCAGCGACACCGATCACGAAAAGCTGGCGGACGACTTGACGAAGAAGTTCGAGAGCATCATGAAGAAGTCTCAAGACGAGAGTATTGTCGGTCATCAAGAAGCAACGCTGTCAAAGACGTCCACACAAGAAGAAATGTTTGGGAAAGGATACGTAAGGGATAGTATAAGCATCAGCGAGGACATAACGAAAGACGAGGAATCGTCACTTCAGGATCGAGAGGAAAGCCTGCCGTTGTCGTCCGCCAAACTCCAGGACAGGGACATCACTATGAGTCCTAGCAGTATATCCGAGCAGATCGAGCTCGAAGAAACGATCGACGTCGATACCGAGGAGCTCGAGGATATATCGAAGCCCACGTCCAGTCCGCATTCGGAGAAACTTCGTTCGGACAGATCGAGCGGCCAAATCGAGCCGCTTCAAAGGGACAGCGATGTTAGTTTCTCGAAGGACAAGGTGGTTTCAGAAATCTCGGGCGCCAGAGTGCTGGAGATCCTGGAACCGAGCGCGGACAGTCGGCAGGACTCGGTCGACGTGCCGTCGTTGGAGTTGGACGAGCATAAGATTTCCGAGCCGACCAGCAAAAACATCACGTCCTTGCATGAGAGCACGGCTATGGATTCTCTGGAGAAAATCACTCAGGAGAAGGACGTAACAATATCGGAAGACATCAACGTAGATTATCCTCCGGCTTTCGAGCTCGGCAAAGTGGGTGAGAGACGAAGAGCGGACAGTTTCGAGATCGAGAGCCCGCCACTGGTGTCGCCGAGGACGAGGCACTTGCACGAATTGGAAATCAAGCCGGCTGTCGGCTGGATGATCGGCGACGAGAAAATCAGGATAACAGAGACGGTGCAACCTTACCAGGCGTTTGATCAGGAACTAGAGCAGCTGATAGGTACTCAAGAGGAAGGAGAGAGGGAAGAGGAGGGAGAAAAGGAAGAGGAGGAGATGGAATCAACGCAACGCGTTCGCACTTCTCCCCAGGACGAATCCGTGGACTTGGAACAGGAATCGGCAACTAAATCTTCAGAAGAGATCAGCGTGATCGAATCGATCAAAGAATCCGACGTGACTAAGCCCACGACTAAGTTCACGGTGATACCAGTGAGCGAGTCGGAAACCGAGCAGGATTTCGAAAGCGAGCTGATAGAAAACAAACTGGACGTAACTTGCCAGGAATTGGTCGACACGCTGCAACGGGAATACGAAGCCAAGACGCCGACGGACGAATACGCCGGTATACATCAGTCAATACCGTGCGAGAGCTTCGATTTAGAAAGTAGTATTATCGAAGCCGTGACAGAAGACATTCCCGTGGAGGAGACTAAAGACTTAACTGAAGACGTTACTACTGAAATAATCGTAGAAAGTAAACCCTGTATTGAGGTGACCGATAAAGAAACCGATAAAGAATCGTTGCAACAAGAAGACGTCTCCACGACACAAACGGAGACTGTCGAATCGACTGTTGTGAGTGAAATATCCACAAGAAAGGAGGAAGAAAAAGAAGAAACTTCCATCGAACATATCACAAAAGAAGAAACACAAGAGCCTGTAGAAAAATCGACAGAGAAAGTAAAAACAGAAGAGTCGGAAGTGCCAACAAAGTGTCCGAGAGTTGACGACGTGCTAAAGGAATGGGCGGAGACTTATCTGTCGAAGATCAAACCACCCAGTGAGGAGTACAAGCGACATATGGAGAAGACCACCGAGAAGGTCAGCAAATCTACAGCACCCTCTTCCGACACATGTGCCTTGAAGATAAAAAAAGACGATTTGCAGAACGTTGATCTGAGCGCGCGATACGCGATCACGGTGCTCGATCAGGTGGTAAAAAAGGAAATCGCCGAGGTGAAGGAGTCTCTGGAGGCGGCCCAGCAGGATTTGATAGAAGAACTGAGCGAGAACAGCCAAACGGTGTTTCAAATAAAAGACTCGCCCTCGGAGTTCCAGTTCAAGCTCCAGCCAGAATCTATTCCAAACGATTTGCCATTTTTATACAAACCACCGTCCACCGAGCACGTTTCTATGGAGACGGAACAGGAAACCAGGACCGAGACCGAAGCTGCGATAGAATCACCGGTTGCAAAAGTCGAGGAACCTGAAAAAGTGGAAGAAACAAAAGACGACACCGCAGACGACAAGTCGATCGAGGCACCTGTTATTGTCGAGGATACATCAGAAATTGAGATTACAATGCCCGAAATCGATACCGAGAAGTACCAATCGGAAGAGACTGTGATAGCTGTTCATGAAGAACAAATTGAAGATGAGGAAGAAGGTCGTCCCAGTCCGCTTCCTATTAGTAGATCGTCGGACATCGGATCGGACCTCGACTACAGGGACGACAGCTATTCCTCATTGGCGCCACCTCAACCAGCGCCAAGAAGACGACAGAAGCCCGCCCGAGTGTCGAAACGAGCGAAGACTTCGGACAGCGAGGCTGATCTCGCCTCGAGTTCTGGGGAGAGCAGCAACTATCATTCGTGCGACTACGAGGGCGGCAGTGGCAGCAGGCCTAGTTCGTCCGACATCGAGGCGATGCATTCCGCCGTGGGTGGCATACAGTCCGGGACGGCTTCGGAGTACGAAACGGCAGCGATGTCGATGGAGCACGAAGGAGGTTCGAAAACATTGCCGACTTCTCAAGAGTATCAGACCGCGGCGAGCACACTGAGCTCCCGCGAGTCTCTCAAGTCTCTCAGCTCAGGCCACCTCGGCAGCATCGACAGCACGAGCGAGTTGTCGGAAACGCTGGTGCCGTCTGAGGAAGCGGACCAGGAGCAGGACGAAATAGACGAGATAGATGACAACCTGGAAAGCGCCCTGGACGCGGATCAAGGAATAGTCGAGGCGTCGGATTCATCTGGTAGTGAGGAGATACCAATGGACGAGACCTTGGACAAGTCCATGGACAAGATCGACAGTCACATACCGTGTCGCATGAAACGTTCGTCCGAAATGATCTTCCAGCAGGTCTTGGACGACAGCGTAAGTCTCGAAGAAACGATGGACGATGTTTTGGAGGACAATCAGGCCAAAGTGGACTCGGGAGATGGCGTCTTTGTGGACGCGCCCGGGGCAGCTCAGTTGAAAATGTCAGAGGATGAAGTTCCGAGTGTGTGCACGCAGGTCTCCACGCGAGTCACCAGGCCCAGCGACAGCGAGGAGCTCGAGGAGGAAGAAGCGGAGGATGTGGCAGCGGATAAGGACGTCGGCGCAATGGAAACAGATTTGGAACAAAGATTGGATCCGGAGTCCGCCGGGGACGAAGGTCTGGAACCGACGATGCAGGCTACATCCGTCCACTCGATGCTGCAACAGGCCAGCATGTCGCTGTCCTCGGCATCGGGCATGTCCTTCGACACGGTTATCGAAAAGGATATGGAGAGAGACAAGTCCGAACGTCACTCCGACAGCGATTCGTTCGAGCTCGTAGACAAGCCTGATATCATCGACGACTTTGTGGTAATCGAGGAGGTCGGACGCGAAGCAGAGGAATTCGACTCCGAGGGCAAGAGCATTCGCATCAGTTCGGCTCCTCAGGTCACCAGCAAGCAGTACGATCGCGATTTGGAAAATCTAATCGCGGAAACTAAGGAAGACTCGCAGACAGCGTCGACGAGTCAGACGTCGCGAAACAACGATCTGTTCGACTTCGAGTCGGAAGAGAGCCCGCCGCAAGCGTCCAATGATGATCAATATTCGCAGTCTTATTCGGACGAGGAACAATACGAGGGCAAGAAGTGGATCGAGATGCAGTTTCACGCGGACGCGCGGGTCTACGACACTCTCGAGTACGATCGCGGACCGCTGGAAGACATCAAAGAGGAGGAGATCACGGACTTCGAGGCCGGTAGCAGCCGGATCGGTAGTCTGGGCAGCCACAAGGAGTCGATCGGCAGCGTGGGGAGTATGCGCGGCAGTTTCGGCAGCACGCCCGACTACGACGTGCTGGGGAAGAAGTACTTCACCAAGCCCACGGATCACGACAATGTGTCGCTGACCTCGCTTCAGGAGTTCGAACATCTGGAGAGCGCCGTAGCGGCCGAAAACTCGCGCAAGCTGCAGCAATGCGGCTCGCAGGATTCCATCAACAACGGGAGTTTGCCAAAGAGGTACGTGACCAGTCGCTCGGGTCATGGCGACGATGTCTCGCTGTCCTCGCTGAAAGACTTCGAAGGTTTGGAACGAGCCTGTCGAGAAGCGCATCTTATGGAGGTGCGCGCACGCGAAGAAGAAGAATTGCTGGAACACGAGAGCCCGGAGAACAGATACAAGATGGAAAATCTGCCGCGTTCCCGAAACATCAGCGCGGCCGGTTCGGTCAATCCCAGCACATCCGGATCGGACGATTACGAGAAGAGGATAAAGGAGATCGACGAGATAATACGCATCGCGCAATCCAACGTAGAGAAATTCGATCGGCAGGACGACACCACGGAGGACATCTCGCAGATCGAGATCACCGACGCCGAGCGGGCCGTCGCTCAGCCACTTCCGGAGACGCAACCGGAAGAGAGCGAGGAACCGGACGAAGCTCAAGTCCAGGCGCAGAAGGAGACCAACATCATGGAGACCAGCACAGACTCGCTGGAGCTGGAGGATAACGCGGACAAGAAACACCACCCGCTGTGTCGGAGTTCCGACTCCCTCGAGATGAAGACCACCCTGGACTTTCCGTCCCTGAGCTCGGATTCGTTGAACAACATGAGAGACACGAAGGAAACACCTCTGGACGCCGCCGAACAATTCGGCGGCAGCGCGAGACGCATCTCCTCGGATTCTCTCGAGCTGCCTTTGATGGAACAGCAGGACGTCGGGACGTCCGAGAGGAGCAGCGACAGCAACGGTCGTCACGCGGAAGAAGAGGCCGACAGCACCGTCGGACGAAGACCCTCGACAGAAAGCGACGCGAGGAATGGCAAGACGAAAACGCCAACAACTAGCAGTACATAGGATAATTTTCATAGGTAAGAGTTTTCTCTTGGAAGGAATTTTTAATTTATATAAATCACTAATTACATAATCGATAATTATCCAATAAAAGATGCAGGTTGTGCCGCCTCAGAGTTCGACGAATTTGTTATTTAATTTTTGTTTGATATAAATAGATCAGATATAAATAGATAGACAATATTTTCTCTCTGTTCGTATAAAAAAAAAAAAAAAGGATTTTTGTTACTTCAATTAAATTATTAAAATATCTAATGTTTTGTGTGAAAAAGAAAGAAAGAGTACTGTCGATCTGAAATTAACAGTCGTTTGATTAACCCACTTACCGTTTTACTTTGCAGATAGCGGATTTACGAAAAGGGCTTGTCACGACTTCATATGTTATATCGAATAAAACTTGAAAGAAAAGAAGCTTTTACATGTAAAACACGATATTAAAAATATTAAAAGAATGTACTTAAGAACTTGTGCATTGTGTGCATGTACATGACGACTATTAACACTTCGTCCTTTGTTTTTCAAACGCGATGGGACAAGGAGAGCATTTGTATTTACACTTGTGTAATTAAGACAGTTGCCATCTTCGATAATATAATAATTGTTGCGCGAGATGTTTGAAAGCGAGGATGTTTGCTTGTTCGTCATTTATTACATTTTCGACAAAAAAGAAAAAACGTGTTTGTTGTAAACGACAAATTCTCGCTGCGCTTGTTTGCGAAGAAGATGCAAATTTAATTGTTTTCTCTTTTTTTGGAATCTTATTATACGTGTTTTTCGAAAAACGTACTATATATATATATATTATTATTATTATTACATTACTTCAAAGCGCGCTGCTTACAGCATGTAGTGCACGCTCTACTTGTATTATAAATTACGCATTGTACCGACATTGTACTATTACAACGTGTTTTATAAACGTTTTTTGATTGAGACGAGGAGGTGACGTTTCTTGTCGTCTCTTTGTGGATGCGCTTTCGTAAAAAAAAAAAAAAAAAATTTTTATATGTACCTTGTAACCGCGTGCAATGATTTCAAGTGACATTTATGCGAAGAAGAAAAAGAACAATTCCAACGATAATATGCTACCTGTAGCGCATGTTCGCTAGAAGGAACACGGGACACGTATATATGATATTTGAACAGAGAAGATTTTATATATGCGAAAAATATATATTACGTATAGAAGACGTATTCACATTCCGAGGAAGACACACGGCGGAAGTATATATATAAATATATATACATACACATGTTTGAATAATTTACGATTGTTTCACATACATAACTTTTATTATATCTGTTTTCTTTTTTATCCCAGATACAGGATTGTACGAGTTTATCGATTACGTTTATACACACACACACACACACACACGTGCACTGTATATTATTATACAAGTTACAACAGTGTCATTCTCTCTCAACGAGTTTGTTTCTTCAACGATGAAAATATACAACTGTGCATTATACCTGAAACTCCCAAAAGGTACACGTTTTTATTTATATTTTTCCTTTTACAAATTACTCCGGTGGTGTAATTTGTTTTGAAAAAAAAAAAAAAAAGAAAGAAATCGCAATCTCGCGCGCAATGTCTGACGACATTTAAAAAAACGCTTTTTGCAGTGATTTGCGGCAGTAAAGATCCATTCTCGTTGCGGGCGCAACGCTGGCGCGGGTCTCGACTCTTGACGTGTCGCTCTCACACTCACTCTCTTTCTCCTTCTGATGGTCTATTTTTAACAAGAGGCGCCCTAAAGCCAGTCGGCAAATAGGCGCGGTATAGCGACGGTTTGGGCGCTGTTATAAAGCATCGTGTGCACCGGCTATGTTTGCAATTCATTGCATATGAGTGCGGATACGTCCCGCTGACGGGGACTCGGAACGGGATCCTCCTCCCGTGGGTGAGAAGACTCGGATAACACGAGGCGCACGTTCTCTTCCTCGTTAGTACCCGACGCGGAGTTGAGGAGGCTGTTGAGAGCGAACACACGCGTTTCCGTCAGCGAGGAAGTGATTAGCCCCGAACCGGGCTCGATTACCTTACGGAAGATCCGAGTCCGCATTCACGTATGTAGGCGAAACGATTGATATCGACAGGTGAAACCACGTTCGGCAAGTTGGCAAGCTCCTCTTCAAGGGTCTTTTACACGTGATGTGGGAATCATATAGAGGGAATTTATCTGTAAAGCAACCGATTCGCGCGATGATCCGCTCAATATAAAAATAAATTTCTCTCTCTCTCTCTCTCTCTCTCTCTCTTTCGCTTTTCGGTTCTCTCTCGCTTTTCATCTCTGTCCTTTCAATGAATCTGTAGTCGTTAACGCGTCGCAACAACGGCGTCGGCGGTATATAGCGACTTCCTCCGGTCCACTGGCTCTGATGTCTGGTTCTGGACGACGTGCCAGGAAGAGAGCTGCGTTTTGCAAGATCCGAGATTTGTCTCGCGCGGCGAGGGAGCCCTCGTCGTGGATCTAGGCGGACTCTGTCCACCACCGGCGAGCTGCGTAGGCGCGACGTAGTCGCGGACATTACGTAAAACCGTGGGAAAAATAAATTTAATACGAGGAAAGAAGGAAAACAAAGTGTAGGCGAGACGAAGAGACACGCGATCTTGTTGCGGGTGTGTGCGCGTCGCGAGATGAGGAGATCGTCGTTCGATAAGTAAAATTTTGGTTCCTTTAAATGTGTCTCTGTCCGTATGTGAGCTGCGAATGAGTGAAAGAGAGAGAGAGAGAAAGTGTGCGAGAGCTGATTAAAAGATCTTTGATTTCCCTTTCTTTTTCTCCGTTCGGCAAAGAGAATAATTTCCAAGATATTACGTTCCCGTTAATTTTTACGGGTGCTGTGGTCGATCCGATCGCGACAGCAAAAAAGAAAATTGCAGAGAAAAAGAAAGAGAAAAAAGAGAGAGAGAGAGAGAGAGAGAAAGAGAGTCTTTGCCACGAGTTTATGACAAGATTTTTCACGGGAAAATGTGTGCTCTGAAAATTTATGGAATGATGACTGTCATCTTTCTTCTAAGCGTGCGCATCAACTCGAAGTAACTTGACAGCTGCGCTGTCTGATTGAGAGAGAAATTATTTCACGCGACATGACGAAAATTTCGACGCGTAACATCTTCCGCGAAAGTTGCGCACATTTTTCTATCCTTTCGGGGAAAAAAAACGGATGTGCTCTGAAATTGTCATTTCGAATTATTGTTGCAAATAAAATTCGCACGAGAGTTTCGATACTCTCTCCCGGTATCGCGAACTGCTTGACCGACTTCGCGCGAAACTCTCGAACGTCCACCAAACAATCTATTTAAAGCAAAAGTATCGATTCTATTACGCGGAATCGAAAGCCCCGCGTCTCGTGTTACCGTTTGTCTCGTTTTTATTAACGAAAACGTGCGATCAAACGCGTTACATTTAATAAAAAAAAAAAAAAAATAGTAATCGATTCGAAGCGGAACACGAGCTCTCGTTTTCGATGTTCGGAATCGGCAGAATTTTTCTGCGCAGCACACACCGAATAAATATGGTGCTGATTGCGCGCGTGCCGCAAACGCACTCGTCGTCGTACGTATTACGTTACAACAGATAAATTTAGCGTTTCTTTTACACGGGAGCTCGTTGTACCACTGCCAATATCGGGACGCGGAATTAATTGGTCGCTTGGAAGACAACCAATTCTATCGCGGTCGAAAAAGCCGTCGCGGGAAATCACTCACGTGCGGAAGAATCGATATATCGGTTTGACCGATCGCGACGTCGAAAAATTCGGGATCGAGCGACGCGTTTTTTTCTAAAATTAGCTTTATCTCTTGCATTTGTGCGCGAGAAAACTCTGTCGTTCGCGGCGGATGTTCTCGAAAAATATCTTTGCAGAAGACCGAGATCTTTTCAAAAAAAAAAAAAAAACCTAATTAACGAGTTTTGAAATAAAATAGACGGTTTTTTTTTAGCGCTGCGCGATGTGTCGAGGTATTCTCGTGAACAAGAAGAATTGCTTCTTCTTCGCGTTGTAGTTCGCGAAGCGTTTAGCAGCTTCGAAGATCGCGTGGAGTTTGCGTAAATGGAGGATTCGCGTCGCGTTACGAACGTTTCGCATGTCCGCAGACTCGCTACTAACGGCAGACGCAACGTTTTGAGTAACGCGTCGTACGGGCACACGATCAAGGATGCCGAGTACAGCGTGAGCTACAGCAGCAGCAGCGGCAGCGGAGGCGGAAACTACCTGCAGCGCAGCGTGTCCGCGGACAATGTTGTGATCCGCTCGCGCGGTTACAAACCTTCCGACAGGCACGATCCGGTCAAGAGAAACTTCCTCGAGAATCTCACGTCGCGAATACTGCACGTCGATATGGTGAGTCGTGTGTTAAATTGAGTCTCACCTCTTTTTTGGAAAAAAAAAAAAAATAAAATCCTCGATTAAACGACAAAAAATCCCATCGCAGGAAGGGGAACAGAAGAGCAGTCCGATTAACTTGCAGAAGCTGCTCACTCCGGCGTCGGATTCTCACGAGATAATGCAGACGAAAAGCAGCAGTACGTGGCATTTCCTTGAAATTGAAATACCGCAACAGAAACGATTTAACGTGTGTATTTAAAAAAAAAAAAAAAAAATCTTTTTCCCTCAGAAAAAATGTACGCGTCCTCGTATTTTTACGCGCCGTCGCATCCAACGGTCGAGGATCAGGTCGAGCTCGCGCGTCGAATCTCGCACTCGCTCAGCGACGTGAAAAACGTCAAGAGCAAAGGGCAGAGCATGTACGTGAACAGAAAGAAGCGATCCGTCAAGTGGATTCACGACGGTAACGGTACGCGATGAAGATCCATCTCTGAATTTCACTGTATAAAAATTTAAAAACAAACGAAAATTAAATACAAAATATGAAAAAATAGCAAATTCTGGGCATCAGAGCGTTCGGGCCTCTATTTGGGCCTTTCAACTCTTGCAGAGCCTGTACTATTTATTTTTGTTGTTAATTATTGTTATTAATTATTGCGAGTCGCGAGATGCGCGCTTCCAATTTCTGTTTTCCGGAGCGTTAATGTCAGAAATAATATTTCACAGGAGTCGAGGACGAAGAGGAATCCATCACAACGGTTCACAAGGTAAAACTCACACACATGTTAATACATTTGTGTGAAACTCTCGGTGTGTCTTGCTTTACCAAGGTGAAATTCTCCCGATAGGATAAATTGCCTCTCAAATGCGTGATGAATCCTTGCGGCAAAGTGCTCGACATACAAGGCATTCAGGCGCTGGGCGAGGAGGTCAATATCGCACCCGTGCCGAAACATCCTGAAAAGCTGTTCGATATCGTTCGCGATTTGAACAATCAGAGAGGACGTGGTTAAGTATCGCTCGACTTTACACAAGTCTCTCGCGTCACAAGAAAATTGATATTAATTGTTATTTGTATTACAAAAAAAACAAAGAATACATCATTTTATTTGTGTTTTAATACGTGTTTCATAAACACACGGTGAATCACACATTGTGCGCGAGAATATTTTTAACTACACGACACACCATTGTGTGTATATCGCATTGCCAAACAATTCGCAGGTGCCGAGATATTTGCGAAACGCAGAAAAAGGTCGGAAAAGTGGGTGGTGGATCAAGAACAGCCACATACGCCTGTTACACCCGCCACGCCGAAAACCCCGGTGTATCCCGAAAAATTGGTAAATTACCACCAGAGTGTGCGGATTTTGTAATACATGCGCTTCTGAAATAAAAAAAAAGTTCTAGCATTCTCCTTGCAAATCAAACCAGACAATTTTCTCATCGAACAGTAAAAATGATGTAAACACAACTTATATGCGCGTGATTCTTTTTATCTTGCGCTCTGTGATTTCAGGAAATTAACGGTAACGCGATGACGTTCGCGACGCCATCGTTGACCCCGCACACGCCTGCCCCGAGTATCGATAAATCGTTTTACAATCCCTTCACAGCGGACATCTCCCTCAATAACGCGAATGTGCCAACAACAGGTGAGTAATCCGATGTAAACACAATGAAACTAATAATCTCAAGTACGGGATGATATCACTTTGGCGGATCTCAGTTGGCAAGCGACGCACATCTGCTTTTCTCTCTCGAGACTTTGCGACATTTTAAAATTACGAACAGCCGGTCACACTGTCGTCAATGTCTCCCGAACACTCACGTCAGAATTTATTAGCGTAAACCAATGCGACGTTGACATCGTGTTTCCGTGCAATGAGAGATTAAGATTCGTTTTTTTCGTGCGCGGAATGTTCTCTGAAAAATTTTTTTATATTTCCGCGTTTCCTTAATTTTGTTGCACAAAAACAAACAGAAAATAAATGTGAAAATAAGAAACTTGATTTTTACTTTTATAAGAAACTTGAGAAAGAGATTGTTCTCGTTTTTTTTTTCTTTCAATTAAAAATATGCACCTGCATACAAGGAAGTGTTCTAGAATTTCAAAGGTACTTGACACGTCTCCGAAATAGAGATCAATGCTGAATGCGAAGAGTCGGCGCGAGAGTCCGAGAGTTGAACGATCTTCGATGTTCTAATTGGCACGTATTCTCGATGTTATTTAATCAGCACGCGAAACGCGCGCGCGCAAACGAAAAATATATATATATATATATATATCTTTCTCTGATACCGCGCTAAGACAAACAATAAATTATATTTACCGACGTGTCGATCGATTTTTATTGTACACAAGTTAATCACAGCAATAAGATTGAACACAAGAGTCCAAGATGCATGACACGATCTCGCGATAAAATTTGATGTAACATGCAATAAAAATAACGCAATAAAAATAATGAGAAATATCGCTCACATGTCTCGCGTATGTTATTGCATAAACAATTGTTAGACTGATAATATAAAAATGATAAAAAAAATATTATCACACATTTTGTTTTGCTTTAATTAATATTTCACGATTTTCATTTGCTTCTCTTTATTTGGATGATTTTTCGAAACTGCGCATGTGTTAATTGTATGTTTAATTTTTAGCCGCATCGCGCGCTAAATAACAAAAGGCTGTGACACTTAGCCGTTGTGCTGCTTGTTGCTTCAATTTTAATAAATTTGCGAGTTGCAGACGGATGCAGATCGCACTGCAACGCTAACCGATGCAGTCACTCGACCGAGGTGAAAAAGATTTATCTGCGGGAAATCGCGGTTGGCACAGACGCTTCCGATTTCCCTGCGGAACAATCACTACCGTCCGTCGTCGAGAGGTCCTACCGCATCGCTTTCGGTTCCCCTAACATCACTAATAATCGCGCGCATAACAATAACAACAAATATATTAACAACAACAACAACAACAACAACAGTCATCAGTCTCCGAGAAAATCCGTCTTTTGCAACGCGCAGAACAACAACAGTGACGCGAGAGCTCAACAGCGAGTTGGCAAATACAACAACGCAATCGGGAACAAGCAACAAAATGGCACTCAGAATGACAATGAGGAAAACGGATACACTCCTGTGCCGGTGAAGCAGCTGATACAGGAATTCGAAAAAACCTGCAGACCGGTTTTGCAATACAAACAGATCAGCCCGAAGATCATTCCGATCGTACAGCAGTGTCCGTTGGATAGCGACATAGCGCGTTTATTCGGGACAAGAAATCCCAAATACAACAACGATGAGGAAGAATACGCACGGTGAGGTTTCGGGGAGTATTCCGCGAGTAATTAATCTTAATTTGATTATTTCCGTGTTTCTCTTCTTTTATCTTCTTTAGTCTAATATATTCAGTCTGAGATTTGCCGACAAACTTATTCAAATTGTTTCACATTTGGAAGAAAGAGCTAAAACTTAACAACGTAATGACTTGTCTAAATTTTGTTGCCATCAAATTTTAATTATACACGTAGGATCAAGATCGATTATGTTTATATATTTCGATTGATTATACACGCAGCGCCCGTGAGAACTACGAAAGATCCGCGACACTGCAGTCCCAATACAACAACGGTCATTTGTACGAGACGCGTGAGAGCTACGAGAGGAAATTACGATCGTCTCAGCGCAACGATCAGCAGTTGTGCAATGCGCGCGCGAGTTACATGGGATCGACGAAGTTGATGCCGTCCCAATGCAACGGCTACGTCTCGACCGACGAGAGCGAGTACACGACGGACGAGACGACCGATTCCTCCGAGGAAATCGACGATTATCCGCGCGAGATCGCGGGATCTATAGATCGCGGCAGCTCCGCGCCCTCCGCTCTGTTCAACTGCTGCGACAGCAGCGAGTACTCGATCGCGTTCGACGACGAGTACAACGGGGCGGCGAGTAACCGACGCCGATCGACCACCTCGCAGGAACTTGAGACCCTGTACGAGGCGAGCAAAGAGGCGGACGCGAGATTCGTTAACGCAGAGACGGAAATACCGCCCGAGGCGAAGTCCCTGATGCTCTCGATGGTCGCCTCGCAGGAAGACATACTCGAGACCAAGAAGCATCTGCGCAGCACCCCGGTCTTGGACAATCTCGTTGGCACCGCCACGCCGGAGTACAAACTCGATGACGCTAACCCGGAATTAGGCAAGTTAACCCGCATGCGCTTCTCTAATCTTTGCACTAAAAAGTGCGGGACAATCTTCAATGAATATGTCTTGATTTTAACACAGCAATTTTTCACAACCGATACAACGGTGCGACTGAATTTTACATGTAATATGTCAAATGTCTTTGTGATAATTTGTGACCACGAATGTGTGTATTTGCCGTTTCAGGGAACAAATTGTACGAGAATAACAATTACACGGGACCGAAGGTGGTCAGTCTCCACAATCTGGCGAACTACAACACGGCGCCACGCGGATGGAATCAGTCCTTCACGTTTTACCGACCCATTAAATTCGAGAAGCCCCAGGAGATTATGTACTCTGATTTTTGAATGTGTACAATTTTGTGTATCAAATTTTTTAATCGCGATCCCCTTCACACGTTGGTGACTACAATATTTATTTTCTTCTATCAAGCGCAATGTGATCTCTTCATTATTTATCAACACAGATTCTTCTTTTCTAGATTTCGCAAAATCGCCTGTCGTCAAAAACCCAATTCTTCCACGGCATTGAGAACTCTACATTGAAATGTGTTTTTCGCATTGTGGCATTAATTTCTTCACCGGCGTCTCGAATCACCGGCCTGCTCTAGTCGTTCAGATATACCGCCGGCAACGAGGTTGATCGACGCCGCGCGCGTGTTTGGAGTTTCGTTTTTGCTTGATGTATCTCTACCTCTCCCCCTTTCGCCGAGATATTATGTGTTGTTCTTCGTGCTTTTAAAGGTGTTACATCTTACTTGCATTTTATTCTTTATTATATATATATATATATCATGCAAATAAAGATACATGTTGTTTTCCTAATTTCCGCCACGCGAGAACGCCTTATCTATTTCTTATCTCTTCTCACGCTTCTTATCTTTTTTTTAGAGATATATTTGCTGTGTATTATTCTCGATAGCAATCGACGTTAAGTGCTCGGTAACTTTAATAAACAAGAATTAATTTTATATAACTCTCAGATGCGATTGTGTGTTATTGATTAAATCTCGTCGGTCATGTGTTACCTGACGATTATATTTATCTTAAATTTCACGCTAGCGATATGTTTATTCGTCGCGAATATAAAGATAGAATTTTATATAAGATTTATGAAAAGATCTTTAGTTCTATATAACTGCTATAATATACAAATTTCTTATTCGCGTAAACTTTATTGATACGAATCTCTACACGAGGGCAATGTGTTAAATGCAAGATAAAAATCCGCAGCGTATGTTTATGTAATTTCAGAAAAAAACGAATTTTAATTATCTCAAGATTAGACTACAAATGCGATAAACACATTTGATAATAATAATCAGTGTTGGATCTATCGCGATGATTATCTTTTTAAATAATATATGTAAGAAAAGTTATCACTTATATCTCTTTAATTTTTATTACTTTTTGATAAACTATTCTTGGTCTCCCAACAATTGTTGTTTACTATCGTAAACAACAATCAAAATCGTAAACAAACATTACTTATCCGAGAGAAGTAGCGTTTTCGATCCGGTGCGGATTTCGAATAGCTTCAAAAGCGATTAACGACGCTGGTAAATCAATCGATGTAATTGGCCGATTTATTTTTTTATAAATCGACGCTATCAATCGAAAGCGATTTGATAATCGTACTGGTCAAAAGCAAAGAAGAGAGAAACAAAGAAACTTCAGTCAATCGTCTCTATCTGTAGTCGATGCTCACGACTTTGGACCAGTAACCATCAACTGACCGGGACTTTATCCGCATGACAACGCTATCGGCGGTGACGTGTGTTTGGCCGACGGTATAAGTATAAGACAGCTTCAATTATTTCATTAGTTACGCACATCGCGTGTCGGAGGGAGCAACTGATACTCGCCATGTTGAATCGGCACGAATTTCTGTTTCTCGTGCTGCTGAGCTTCACGCAGCTCTTCCTCGGTTATGCGGCGCGAATACCGCGAACCTTGCCAGAAGAACCGTCTAAGAACTGCGGCTACAAGGTAAACGCAAACTGCCGCATATAATGATTCGGAATAACAAAATCTTCGGATTCTCAAACACTCACAAGCGCTCCATTACAACTGGATCTCGCTTAATGTTTACGAATGTTCGCAATGTTACTTGCAACTTCACCGATTTCAGGCCTGCCACGCCGTCGATCCGAATAAACTCAACATTCACCTGGTCTCCCACACGCACGATGACGTTGGCTGGTTGAAGACTGTAGATCAGTATTACTTTGGAAGTAAATAAGAAAATTAGAACAAAACATTTTGTTGTATTTCTTTTGTGTCCCCGCGTATATCCTTTGTTTTTTATTATTCTTCTAGGTCGTTCTACGATCCAAAAAGCCGGCGTGCAGTACATTCTCGACAGTGTTATTCAATCACTGCTGGCTGATCCCAACAGAAGGTAAATTATATAGCATTAGACATCACACAAGTGTAAATTGTGACAATTCATTTGCATGTGCGGACAAATAGATACATAAAACATACACAGGAAATGATCTCATTTCCTGTGTAGTTACATTGTAGTTACAACATTCCAAACGTTCACGATAACATTAGAAAAACAGTTTGGCTGATAAAGTTTCATGTTATCGCAGATTTATTTTCGTGGAGACAGCTTTCTTGTGGAAATGGTGGCTACGACAAAACAACGAGGTACGCGCCAATGTCAAGATGCTGATAAACGAGGGACGATTGGAAATCATTGGAGGCGCCTGGAGCATGAACGACGAGGCCTGCACTCATTATCACTCGCTGATCGATCAATTCACTTGGGGATTCAGGCGGCTGAACGACACGTTCGGAGAATGCGCCAGACCGCGCATAGGATGGCAAATAGATCCGTTCGGTCATTCCCGCGAACAGGCTTCCCTGTTCGCGCAGATGGGATTCGACGGGATGCTGTTCGGTCGCATAGATTATCAGGACAAGAGCAAGAGACTTAGCGAACAATCGATGGAATTCGTGTGGAAGAGCAGTCCGAGCTTAGGTGAGGTGTGAAACTATGTTTTAGGCAAAAAAAAAAAACCATATTTTATCCAAGCGTCTTTTTAAAAATTGCCTCTAATTTGTACGCAAAGAAGATTGAAAACTTGCAACGTGTCGTTTTCAGGCAAGCGAGCGAATCTGTTCACGGCCGCGATGTACAACACATACAGTCCACCGCCGGGATTTTGCTTCGACGTTCTATGCACCGACGAGCCGTTGATCGATGACCCTGATAGCCCGGACTTCAATATCAACAAGAAAGTACGTAGCGACAATAGCGTCGTGTGTAAATAGTTACGACGGATAATAACTGACAACACGAGGTCGATGAACTAACGCGAGATCCTTTTGTTGCGTTTCAACTAACATTTACGAGTTGACTCTCTTTTACACGCCAATTAATATTGATGTTAAAAAGAACGCTTGAAGCTATGGCTTTGAAGTATACTCGTTCCGCGTTCAGAGAAATCATAATTGTGACGCGACTTGTTGTGTTTCTCCATGCCAGATCGATGATTTTCTGCTATACGCGGTCAAGCAAGCTAATTATTACCGCACGAATCATATCATATTGACGATGGGAGGAGATTTTACTTATCAGCACGCGGAAATGTACTTCATGAATCTGGACAAACTGATAAGGTATTAATTTCGAGTTAAAAGAGAATTACGGCTTTTCTAAATTCACGCTTCTCGAGATTAGTCCGACGAGATCACGGAGAAAGAGAGCGGGTTGCAAGGACTGTATTTCGGCGCTAGTCAGAAAATTCTCGGTAAGTAAAAACTTGTGCGCAATTGGCAGGTGGAGCTGTTCCTGGCATACGTGAAAAAACAGGCGCTTGCTTACAAAACTAATCACATTATCCTTACCATGGGAGAAGATTTTCACTATCAACAGTCCGAAATGGTGTTCGGTAACTTAGACAAGCTCATCAGGTAAGTCTCGTGATATTGATTCAAGAAGGTCGCACAACAAACTTTGAATTGGGCAATAAAACTGGGTAAAAAAAATAGTAACAGAATAAAGTTGATTATTTAAACGAAAAATACCGAAGTTGGAAATTTTGATCACGTTAATTAAAAAAAGATTACAATCGAAATCAAAGAAGTCCTAAAATAAAAACAATCTTGAATAGTAAGTTTTGAATAGTAAGTTTTGAATAGTAAGTTTTTAATTTCAACGCACCTTTATAATTGCGCAAGTTTAACAAAAAAATTTACACAAGTGTTTTTTTTAATGAAAAACAGATAATTGAAAAAAGAATCACTCTTATCTCAGATATACAAATCAGCGTAATGGTTCCACATACAATGTGATTTACTCGACGCCCTTGTGTTACTTGAAAGCGCTGAACGACCAAAAACTTCAATGGCCCACGAAGAGCGATGATTTCTTCCCGTACGCGAGCGATCCTCACGCTTTCTGGACCGGCTACTTCTCGTCAAGGCCAACCGTGAAGTTCTTTGAGCGGATGGGAAACAACCTGTTGCAAGTAAATATTACTCAAAAAAACAAAGATATCAATAAAAACAAAACTTGAATTTTCTCAAAACATGAAAAATAACAAATGCTTCTAGACGAGCAAGCAACTTGTAGTTCTGACAGGCCTGAAACATCACGATCGTCACTTGGAACTCTTCCGTGAAGCGATGGGAGTGATGCAGCATCACGACGCCGTTACCGGCACCGAGAAGCAATTGGTGGCGGACGATTATTCGCGCATATTGTACAAGAGTGTGCATCACGCTGGACAGATAATCGCGAAGAGCATAGCGTAAGCAACCTCTCTTTCAAGAGAAATATTAAAGATTTTCCGATTTTTATTTGTTGGACTCCTGCGCAATGTTTCTGTGACAGTAATTGGACAAAAACGGGGAACAGCTCGAGACCGATGTCCAAAATCTTCCCGTGTCTGAACCTGAACATCAGCCTGTGCGCGTTTTCCGAAAAGAACGAAGCATTCATGATCGTAGCGTACAACCCTCTGAGCAGGCCTGTTTCCACGCATATTCGCGTCCCGGTTCAAGGAAACTCGTACGCGCTTCGATCATTAAGTAACGGTTGGTAGATGATAAGATATAAAATATGTGTGAAATAATTCAATTATATAATTGAACAACGTCTGGACGTGTGACACACTTTTGCGTTCTTTTCGGATAGGAGCGCAGTTACCAACGCAGATAGTCCCGATTCCCGAGAGCGTTCAAGCAATTCCGGGAAGAGTGAGCAAGGCCGTGAACGAGGTTGTTTTCCGCACCGAGCCCATTCCTCCTCTCGGTTTCTTGACCTACGTCGTCGCCAAAACATCGCGAGACGAAGTATCTCCGGAACCCGAACCGTCGGACTTTATAAGCAACGAGGTAAATACAGACACACAGCTATTAATGCAAAAAGTCTAATAAATAAGTTTTTTTGAAACTAACAGCGAGATTTCTTGTTCTCGTGCATTGTTCAGTTCTACAACGTATCCGTCGTCGACGATGGCAAGTTGCTGGTGCGTTGGAATAAGCAAAAGAACATGAGCGCTGTGCAGTCTTTCGTTTACTACGAGGGAGCGGAGGGTAACAACAGGGTCTTCAAGAACAGATCGTCCGGCGCGTACATCTTCAGGCCTAAAGAAGCGTCGTCTAAAAACTTCGTGTACACAGGATCGTATAAGATTTACAAAGGTGAAGCGAATAAACTCTTTCTTAATTATCAGTTGTGCTATATCGTAACATTTTTGCTATCTTATGATCAGGTCCCGTTGTGCAAGAAATTCATCAAACAATAAACGAATGGGTCAGTCAAATAGTTCGAATTTATCCGGAAGAAGAACACATCGAATTTGACTGGCTCGTTGGACCGATACCTGTCAAGTACTAAAAGTTTCTATTGTCGCATTATTTTTTTCACTTTTACATCTTCCATTTAACATTTCTGATTTTTTCAAAGTTTACAAATAAAAAACTAAAAGATCTTGTGCAAATTGATCTACTTAAATCAAATGGAAATGCCGCAGGGATAAGATCGGCAAAGAAATCGTCACGAGATACTCAAGCAACTTGAAAACGAACGGAGTGTTTTACACGGACAGCAACGGAAGAGAGATGCTGAAGCGCGTCAGAAATTATCGACCTACGTGGGACCTGGAATTGGAGGAACCGATATCTGGAAATTACTATCCGATTACCAGTAAGATCGCGATAAAGGATGAGGAGAAGCAACTGAAGCTGAACGTCCTGAATGATCGCGCACAGGGTGGAAGCAGCTTAGAGGACGGTGCTATTGAGTTAATGGTAAAAATTTAAATTATTAATTTAATAAGATAGACGTGTGTGAGAAAAAATTACAAGCCAATTTGTTTCTTCCCAGCTTCACCGAAGACTTCTGAAAGACGATGCGTTTGGCGTAGGCGAAGCTTTGAATGAAACTGCATTCGGTGAAGGTCTGGTGGTGAGAGGCACGCACTATCTCTTCGGAGGCAAAGTGAAAAATGCCGATGAATTCGTGCTGAAGGAGAAAGAGCTGGCTCTCAAATTGGCTTTGTATCCCTGGATTTTAGGTACCGTTTTTAAGCCAACAGATTTAGAAAACGAATTCACAAGCTCGGTGAGTATACACTTGTTCTTTATATTATTGCGAGAAATTCAATTAAATCAAGTTAATTATCAGCAAATACACGTGCATGAAAGTTCGACACGGACTTTTTTTTTCAAAATTGTATGTATTTTGTAGTATTCGGGACTTACCAAATCATTACCACCAAATGTGCACATTCTCACCTTGGAACCGTGGAAAGACGGTACAGTTCTACTAAGATTGGAACACATCTTCGAAGTCGGTGAGGCAGAACGTCTATCTGCGCCAGTAGAAGTTAACATTAAGGTGCGCTTTCGTTTGTTATATTATTGTGTGCCTTGTGTGTATGCGCGTTTCTTTTGTAATAATAATATTCTTTTTATGTTCCATTAGGATCTATTCTCGACGTTCACAATTGAGTCGATCAAAGAGACCACGTTAGGCGCGAACCAACTGCTGAGAGAAAATAATCCATTAGAGTGGGAAACAGAAACCAATGATATTTTGCACGACAAGGAGAAGAACTTGCAACCCGTAGAAGTTCACGACGACGTTATCAATGTGCTTCTGAAGCCAATGGAAATACGCACGTTTATTCTCACAGTGAGGAGAAATCCTCTTTAAGTTTTAAAATACAATATTTTTTTAATTATGTTTTATTATGTTATTTAGTAAGAAACAAACTTCGTTATTTTTTACATTGTTACGTAGACCCGTAAAACAATTCTAAGAAGAGAAATTATATGAAATATATGTAGATCAAACTCTTTTCAAAAAAAGAATGTATGCAAAAGAAATATATCTTCTTCTTCTTTGCATTTATGGCACCACGCCACCTGAACGGTTAAGGCAAAGGCCAGTCTTTGATTGGGTGTGTGTAAACACCGTAAATAAACACTAAAGTGGGCTAAGTCTTTGTTGTAAACTGGGTTTTAGTGACTACTACATACTACTTGATCGCGGATGTGTACATGGTTACTGTCCCTCGGCAGGATAAACTTACAACGCAAGTCCCCCTACCACTCATAAATAGAATAACTAGGTCTAAAACCGTGGTTTGGGTACTCAACACCAAGACACGGAGTTATACTTTCGTTAAAAAACACTACCAAGCAAACAAATCAGTGTAAAAAACACCGAAAAAGTCCAAAAATACTTAAGCGTAACTACGCACGTCCAGTCGGTACGGCTATCGCAGCCATCATGCCTAAAAAAAAAAGAAATATATGTATATGAATATATAGAGCACATACGGAAATTAAGAAGTCAATATAAGATAGATACATTTCAATAAAGAAAAATGTTCAACAAAATACTGTACTACTTACGCCATCTCTTGTAAAACGCTACGAATTAATTCCATTCTTTACTTTTCGTTGTTCTTTTGTCTTGGACCAGAGAGAAGCCTGAGAGCGGCCAGGTCCATAAGAGAATGTGTAATCACTTTTCCGCCCCGTAAACTAGCGCATGTCCACGGGTGGTACACATTGGAACTACGCAGCCAGTCTACGAGCGACATGTCGGTGCTCTATGTCCACAGCGTGCGGTTCTATTCTTTGCTATGTGCACGAGTTTAAATGGTCACTTTCTTTAAGTGTGTGAGTATATTCGAGAGCGTGAATTTGATTTTTTTTTTAATTTAAAATGACCGATCTCGCGATGAGAAGATGAGAAAGGAAAACAGAAAAGGATAAGAAAAACCATTGCAACTTTTCGTACAATATAAAAGTGATATACAAAAAAAGATGTGATAGTCAAGAAAAGAATATTATTTTAGCGAGCAACATCAGAATTCGTGGAGTGTAGTAAATATAATCTCTTTTACATCATCATTTGCTGCTCTGTGCTTTATAAATTTTATTTTATTTTCTTAAAAATACTACATATATATATATAGATACAAAATACACAAAAAACCATGTGTATTATACAAAGGTGTTTTAACGGTACACAAATATAATGTCTGAAAAGTTGCAATTCCAAGAAATATAGCTTTTGCTTTTTTATTTAAAACTCTTTATCAGTGAGTTTTCTATTTCCAAGTTTCATTTTACAATTTTGTTATACATTACAATAGAATACAATTCTATTACACATTTATTACATAAAACAAACAATATAATACAATATAATACAATATTATATAATATAATATAAATAGTTATATATAATCCTACCTACCTACCTACCTATCTTAGACATATCTTAAATGTTACTAGCCTCATTAATTAGGATTAAGGCTGCATAACAGCCTTGATCCT